TGATTTGTAAATTTTGTGTATCTGCATTGTTAAGTGCAGTACCACATGTGGCTAATGACTAGTGGCTTGCACAGTGTCTAGAATTCTACAACCTTAGCCTTTTTGGATTTAGTGAGCTGTGTTCAGTCTAAGAAATAAATTTTTTTTTTCATTTTTCTTTTATTATTCATATGTGCATACAAGGCTTGGTTCATTTCTCCCCCCTGCCCCCACCCCCTCCCCTACCACCCACTCCGCCCCCTCCCTCTCCCCCCGCCCAATACCCAGCAGAAACTATTTTGCCCTTATTTCTAATTTTGTTGTAGAGAGAGTATAAGCAATAATAGGAAGGAACAAGGGTTTTTGCTGGTTGAGATAAGGATAGCTATACAGGGAGTTGACTCACATTGATTTCCTGTGCGTGTGTGTTACCTTCTAGGTTAATTCTTTTTGATCTAACCTTTTCTCTAGTACCTGTTCCCCTTTTCCTATTGGCCTCAGTTGCTTTAAGGTACCTGCTTTAGTTTCTCTGCGTTAAGGGCAACAAATGCTAGCTAGTTTTTTAGGTGTCTTACCTACCTCACCCCTCCCTTGTGTGCTCTCGCTTTTATCATGTGCTCATAGTCCAATCCCCTTGTTGTGTTTGCCCTTGATCTAATGTCCACATATGAGGGAGAACATACGATTTTTGGTTTTTTGAGCCAGGCTAACCTAAGAAATAAATTTTAAAAAGCCTACTTTGTAAGCAGGAAATGGAAGAAACTTAACTGCAGTTTTATCACAGAGTTGGCAAGAAGTATTGAAAATGCTCAGTCATCCAGGGTTATTTTTTTGTTGAAAGACAGGTTAGGTATTTGCTAATAGGGTAAGATTGCACTTTGATACCTTTTGAAGAAATGTAGTTAAAGAAACAAGAGTCTACAAAATAGAATTTGACTTGTTAGAGCCAACCATACCCTCCACCTGGAATTTTACTATGGTGATGAATGGACAGTGACTGCAGAGTAAGTGGAGTTTGATGAGGTAGACAATATTTGCAGCACTTTTTAAAAATGTAATAATTAAAATTTACCTCTAGAAATTTGAGTTTATTTCCATATAGCGTGTGTGAGACTAGAAATCTCAAGTCACACACTGTATAGCACAAGTTTTATTTATTTATTTTTAGTGTTGCTGTGGTTTGAACTGAGGCCCTTACTCTTGCTAGAGAGGCGTTCTAACAGGAGCCATTCTGACAACCATTCTTTGTGTTGGATTTCCCCCGCCCCACCACCACTAGTTTGGACTTACTTAGCTCTAAGGTAAATAAGTGACTTATCCTCCTATGAGACAGTATATACAGAGTATATACTGCAGGTTGAAATGCTTTGTGCATTTTAAAAAGTATTGTGTGTAATCATCTTTTACTCTGAATGAGATTGGGAAACAGAGCAGTAAGAGGTCTTAATGTGATGCCTTAAAGATTGAACTTAACAAGATCACTCTTGAAGGAGATTAGAAAATAGGTAGCTGTTATGTAGCTTCCTAATGAATCCTCCCTCTTTTGCTCATACAGAGAATTAGACTCAGGGCAGAACTTCAGTTGAGCTCTAACATGTGAGATACAACCCCAGCCTTTTTGTTTAATATTTTATTTTGGTTTTGAGATTGTCTTGGTAACCTGTAAGTAAGTTGTCTTCGACCGCCTTACTAAAATCACTACATTTTAGGGTGCGTTCTTTCATATTTTACAAGTTTATAAAATTCAAATAAAATGTTCTGGACAGCAGATTATATTTCTTACAAAGTTATTGAGTGGAACCAATCTACATGTTTAGGCTCTATTGATTACTCGTTATAGTTCAAATGTGGCATTCTCCAATTTATTTAGATTAGTGCTTTTGGACAGATCTCAATCCACAGGTTGATAATGAAATCTTACCTGCTCCCTTCTGTGCTTGGCTTGCTTTTTCAGTACGGTATTTTTATGCTCCTATGTTTTGAATGGCTCTGTATAATTATAGTGGTGAACCAATAGGCATGCTGATGTATCCTTTAGTCTGTTTCAGGTGAACATAGCAGAAATAACACAAATCCTAAAAATCTTAGTTGTTGTGTTTTGAGTCTCAAGAATAAGAGTATCAGTTTGATCCTGAAAATAATTTGTTTTGGGTCCCATTTTGACATAGCTTATTTATATTATAATAATGAACCATAAGTGCCAAGTTTTTTCAGTCTTTTTTTTTTTCTTAAGCAACTTTAATAGCCCTGTTTACTTACACCACACAGAAAACTTAAGGGTTTTTTTTGCGGTATTGGGGTTTGAACTTAGGGTCTCCAACTTGAGCCACTCCACCAGCCCTTTTTGGTCTTTCTGATCTCTGCTTATTGAGTAGCTAGGATAATACGTGTGAGCCACTGGCACTTGACTTTTTATTTTAAAGAAGAGTATTTTTATATAGAAAGTACAGTTTTTTGGTATTGTACAAAGGATTGATTCCAGGATCCTTCTGGCTACTTAAGTCCCTTATATAAAATGGCATTGTGTTTATTACCTATGCAGTACTGCTTTATACTTTATTTTTTATGGTGTAGTTTGCACAGACTATCACCACAGGGCTTTTTGTTGTATACTGGGATTTGAACTCAAGGCTTCAAGCTTGCTAGGAAGGCACTCTACCACTTGAGCAATTTCACCAGCCCTTTTTATTTGTTTTAAAAGCCAATTACATTTCATTTAATGATGCTGGGGTTTGAGTTCAAGACCTCATTTTGCTAGGCAGACTCTGTACACTTGAACTTCGCCACCTTCTTAAATTCAGTTTTCTTTTGATTACCATCTTCTTATTCTTGGATTTATACTTACTTTTCTCTGTATCTCTAAAAAAGCATGTTTTTTAAAGTGACCACGAAATAGTCTAGATTTGCTCTTTGTACATTCAGATAAACTGGAATGTTTTACTTCTGGGCCTATGTTTTTTGGCTTTGTTTTTGTGTTTTACCTTTTTATTAATAGGTACACTCAGAATTTTAGCAAAGAGGAATTCTCAGGCATCATAAATGTTAAAGTAGCTAGTTAGTTTAAAAAACAAAACCCTGCATTTTCCAGGAAAATCAAGATCAAATTGAGCAAAAATTATCTAGAAAGTTTATTATAGACTAAATATAACGGAGATGGTGGCTCATTCCTATAATCCTAGCTTCTTGGGAGCTAGATCCAGGAAGTTCAAAGTCCAGGCCATCCAGAAAAACTTAGGGAGACCCATCTGACCTAAAAACTTTGTGAGTGGGATAAGGGAATGGGTCAAGTACCTGACTAGCAAATACAAGGCCCGGAGTTCAGATTTCAGGACTACCACAACAAAACAAAAAAACACCCTAGTAGTAGCTGGCTGTGGTGGCAAACCTCTATCATGCCCATCTATAAGAGGAGCATAAATAGCCTTCCCTGGTCAAAGAGGGGATAAGGGCTGTGCCTCAAGTGGCAGAGCAGCTGCCAAAAATAGTAGCAATAATAGTAATAGAACTCCAGAAAAAGTACCTTCCATACATGAGGGTGAAATTATAGTGGGGTTGCATTGTTAATCTGAATTTGGTAAAACCAGTGTTGGCCAAGTAATTTGTTAGTAAGGATTAATTTTTAGAAAAATCATTTGAGCAGTTCTTGAAATTCCTAATCTTAATCGATTCTTGTGTGCAAATTATTTTGTTTCAACTTTTATTCCCATTATAGTTTGCTCTCCCTGTTGTAAGATTCTGTATGTGGATTTAACTAACTGATGATCAGAAATAATGGGGGGTGGTGTTGTCTGAACATTTCCTTGCTCTGAAAACAATTGTTTCCATAGCATTTACTTCCCCAGAGCAGTTGCCCGAGGAACTATACTCTTGAGGGAAATTATATCTGAAAATGAATTTGTCTCCAGAATTCCCTTCTTTTTAAGAATTGCTATTTTATGATAAAATCGTAAAAATTATGAGATGAAAATACTTAGCCCGAGACATTTGTAAATATATTCAGGGGAGTCAAGTTAATAGAAAATTCTAATAATTTCTACTTTGGTTTTATGATTGATTAGGAAGATTTGAGGTGCTTGAAAAGTCACTTATGGTCACAGAATTTTCAGTTTTGAGATGATTGACAATGTTGGTGTAGTTTTGAATGGAATTTAGCATGAATAAAGTGGGGATTGACAATTTATATTATCATTATAATGTTTATTTTTGTATGATTCTTTAAAAGAGGTGAAATGACTGCCCTCTCATAGGTACAAAATGCTTGTTTACAGATCCAGTTTTTTTTGTGAGACTTGGGGTTTGAACTCAGCCTTACACTTGCTTGTTCTTGGGCTTTGAACTCAGGGCTTTATGCCCTCTAGGCGCTGTACCACTTGAGCCACACTTCCAGTCCATTGTTTTCTCTGGTTATTTTTGAGATGGTGTTCTCTCACACCATTTGCCTTGGTGGCCTTGCACCTTGATCTCCCAATCTCAGCTTCCCAGGTAGCTAGGATTATAGGTATGAGCCACTGACATTGCCTTGCAGTCCTTTTTATGAGCACTGTATTGAGCTTTATATGAACTGTTGATTGTAGCTACATCTGAGAAGAATAAAATCACAATAAAGTCCATTATTTTAAAAAAGTAATGTTCTGGTTTCAGACTAGCCCTAGGCACAAAAAAAAAAGTTACACCGTATCTGAAAAATAAAGCAGAAGATGGCTGGAGGCACGGCATAAGTGATAGAGTGGGCACCTTGGCAAGGACAAGGCCCTGGTTCAAACCTCATTACTATAAAAATAATGATGCTATAGTAGTAAGGAAACATGCCAACTGAAGGGACAGTCAACAGCATCATTTGGTATATATGTAATATTTTCTTAACAAATTGCTGCAGAAGTAAAGTCATTTCATCAAGGAATAGAGGCTTTAGCTAGTCTTGTGCCTACTACTTACTTTGTGCCTACCTACTTTGTAGTCTTGCTGTTGGATCTTGCTGAGCTTTGTGAAGGAATTTTTATTTTTATTTTTTTATTCAATAGGATGTACAGTTACCCAGCACGTGTGCCACCACCACCACCTATTGCTCGGGCTGTAGTGCCCTCTAAACGCCAGCGTGTATCAGGAAACACCTCACGAAGGGGCAAAAGTGGCTTCAATTCTAAGAGTGGTCAGCGAGGATCATCATCCAAGTCTGGAAAGTGTATGGTTTATTTCAGCTCTTTGGTTCTTGTATTATTGTTTTGAAGTGGGTAAATTATTAATAGAGTTCCAGAGTTCTGTTATATAGCTTTGCATGAACAAAAAAGGAGGTGGGTAGCTCATGCCTGTAATCCTAACTTCTTGGTAGGCTGAGATATGGAGCATTCCATTTAAGGGCTCCCCAGGCAAATAGTTTGCTAGACCCTATGTCTAGATGGGTCCATCCAGAGCAAAATGGACTGGAGGTATATAGCTCAAGCAGTAGAGCACATGCTTTGTAAGTGCATACCCTTGAGTTAAGCCCTAGTCCCTGCCCAAAAAAGGAGGGTGCAGAGAAGGGGTTCTACTCTACAAGCCTTGTTTTTTTTTTTTTTTGGTGGAGGGGTGGCTCTTATAAATACGGAATACACATACATATTCTGTGAATTCATGAAATACTCGTATAGCTTTAAAGCTGTTTAGGCAGCATTACTGCATATGGGAAATTGTTTGGGTTTTAGTTTCCTGTATTAATCTTCATGTTAGTAAAACATAGAAAATGTTTAAAATAGAATTGACTTCTTACCTGTGTCATCATGCCTCTGATAGAAGGCACTAGGAATATTAGCTTTTAACTTTTTAGCTGCAGATAACAGATTGAAATTTCTTGGCTTCTGTTGTATAAATGGTTATGTTGCTCCCTGGAGCTGTTTTTGCTTTCTTGTTTATTTATAGTAGAGTGGAAATAAGTGATTAAGTGTGTATATTCGGGTACATTTGACATTTCGTTTCTGTTGAAGTGAAAGGAGATGACCTTCAGGCCATTAAGAAGGAGCTGACCCAGATAAAGCAAAAAGTGGATTCTCTACTGGAAAGTCTGGAAAAAATAGAAAAGGAACAGAGCAAACAAGCAGGTAAAGGTCTCCACTTATTGGATATAAATTGAGGTAGCTACCAGAGGTAGTTCAGAGTCTCTGAAACTTGGGATATTTGAGTTGGCTGGGGCATTTTTGTGGGGGGTGGAAGTTAGACATGTCCTGCATTTCCATAATCATTAGTGGTGATTGCCTATATCCTGTGGGCATACTTGGCCCTACACAGACTTTTGTCTTTTTCATCTCCAGTAGAGGTGAAGAATGAAAAGTCAGAAGAGGAACAGAGCAGCAGCTCCCAGAAGAAAGATGAGACTAATGTGAAGATGGAATCTGAGGGGGGTGCAGATGACTCTGCTGAGGAGGGGGACCTACTGGATGATGACGATAATGAAGATCGGGGGGAAGACCAGGTAAAAAGTTTGGGAGAGGAAAGGAATAGGTGATAGAAGGGGGGACCAAGGAGTGTCTCTAACTCCATCCTATTTGTGTCTGTTTCTTCCACAGCTGGAGTTGATCAAGGATGATGAAAAGGAGGCTGAGGAAGGAGAGGATGACAGAGACAGCGCCAATGGCGAGGATGACTCTTAAGCACATAGGGGTTTAGAAATCTTACCCCTTATTTCTTTACCTAGGCGCTTGTCTAAGATCAATATTTCACCAGATCCTCTCCCCTAGTATCTTCAGCACATGCTTACTGTCTCCCTATCCTTCCCATGTCATTCATTCATATTGCTCTGCGCCTAGTTCCATTTTCACTTCCTTTGATGCTCCTAGTAGTTTTGTTAAGTCTCTCCCTGTAATTTTTGCTTTTAATTTTGATACCTCTTTATGACTTAACAATAAAAAGGATGTATGGTTTTTATCAACTGTCTCCAAAATAATCTCTTGTTATGCAGGGAGTACAGTTCTTTCCATTTATACATGATTTCAGTAGTTGCTTCCCTAACTGCAAAAGCAATCTCATTTAGTTGTAGCACCTGAGAGCCGCTTTGAGTTGGAGGTATGTGTGTTTTACCCCACATAAGTACTGTGTGGGGCTGTTCAACACAAATGTAACAATGTATTTTTGTGAATGAGAGTTGGCATGTCAAATGAATCCTTTAGAAAAATAATTAGTGTTACAGTCTTAATATTTGTTTTCTAAAGTTGATACTGTGGGTTATTTTTGTGAACAGCTTGATGTTTGGGACCTTTTTTCTCAAAATAAACAAGCCCTTATTAAACCAGGAATTTGGAGAAAAACCCCTGGTTTTTTTATTTTTGTATTTTATAATTGTTCTTGTCATGATCATTACGCATACTACGTACACTGCTCAAGTTAATTTTACCAGGATACATCTTGCATTAAGAAATGAAGTAACTGACATTGTTGTCCTTTACTGGATTCTGAAGTTTGCACCTCAGTGTCACGTGTAAATAGGAAAATGTGCTCTTTCTGATTGTGTGCTTTCGTCAGGTAACAAAGAATTTGTGAGGGTATAAGTTTATTTTCCTTAAGTGCGCAATCCCTGTGAAGTAATCCTTAGCCCTAAACTAGTCTAGGCTCAGTTTAATTTATATTTTATCCCTCAGTTTTTCTCACAAAGGATTCCTTGGAATTTCCTACTATTTTAGAACTTGCAGCACAGGCAATTTTTCCCATCCTATGTATTTTGAGAAAATGTCCTACTTATAAAGGATTTCATAGGTCTTTTTATGCAACAGGTAACAAATCTAGACAGAATAAAGAGGATAGAATAGATAGAATGAACTGGGGTTTGGAGTTTCTATTGTATGTAAATTTAATCACACCAATCCCCTTGTACCCACTCTTGGTTTTTGGTCTTAATGTGATCTCCGTTACACAAACATTTTATTTAGCAGGTCATCCATGGGTGCAAAATCATCTGTATGCTTAGTTTTACAATTTTACCGCTTAACAGTATTTAGCACTTTGTGTTCTGTCATATTAGTGGTTATTTTTAACTTCAGAAACTGGAAAGCACATTCTTCAAGAAATGACTGCACACATCATTGCTAATATCAGTGTACTTGTTTGTCTTAATGGGGAGGAATCATTTCATACACTAGGACTCAGGCTATTGTGAATTAAGGTTTCTTCCTGTATCTAAGAGAAAAACACAGGCATACTCAGTACTTTGGTTCCTAGGCCAACGCTAAAGCAAAGTACACATGTTTGAAAAATTAAGTCTGTAGTAAGTATCATTTGAAATCTGATCAAATGCATGTTCGTGCTTCTCAAAGGCTAATGGCCTTCAAGTCGTGGGTCTAATAATTAGGTACTATTGTGGCATTATTTAGTTCTGGGCCCTGGAACAGTTGAACAGTAGTTGTATCAACACACACAGTTTCTCAATATGCAAAGAAATCTGACAAAATAGCCTGAATTCTTATATGAATTCAGTTTTAAGTTAGTGAGCAGGAAATATGGGTGATGATTAAAAAGAATATGTTTGAAACATTTCTTTTTCTGGTGGTGCATAGTTTCTGATTTGGAGACTTATTTGGAGCCCACTGATCTGTGATAAATTTTCTAATTTGCTGATCTTTCTGAAAGTGGTCAAGGTACAGTATCTGACAAGTTTAGGGTGCTTTAAAGGAGGGCTCTTATTGTATTTCCATTCACATGATACCTCAACATCTAAGACCTGCAAAGATTGTAAGGTTAGTATCCATTGCATTTGATACTGTGTTCAGATAGAACCAGTTACAATAGAAAACCAGAACAAACGAGCTGGAGTCAAATGGAAATTTTAGAAGAATGTAACTACTAGATGTTGAGGGGTACAACCTCTGATGCCAACTGGACTGCATAATGAGCCCTTGCCTCAAAAAAAGTAAAAAAAATTTAATGGAACTTGTAGAACAGTAGCTATCTGTGAGCCGTAGGATAACCATCAGGTGCACAACTTACACAAGTACACAATCTTAGCAAGATTTTTTAAAAAACTTTAGAGCACGTATTTACTTTGCTGTAGTGGTATTGAACCCAGAGCCTCGTACGTGTCAGATAAAACATTACCATTTGATCCACACACCCAGCAGTAATGCATTGTATAATACGACAAGTTACTGGTGTTTTGAGGTTGTAAAGTGATAGGGCTTTGTGGAAGTTGGAAGACAGGTGTATGTTTAATTGAAAGATACTTTTTGTGACTGCTTCTGTAAGTATTGACCACCGAAGAATGGATTGCTGGGATTGCATAAACATCATTAATGGTTAATGTCTGGAAATAGTATAACTTGGCCATATACCATTTCCTTTAGACACCTGAGCTTTTTTTTGGTGACAGGGTTTTTTTGAGATATGGTCTCCCTGTTTGTCTGGGCTGGCTTCAAACCTCGATCACCCTGACCTCTGCCTCCTGAGAAGCTAGGATTGTGGGGTATGAGCCACCATCACTGGCAACAGCTGACCTTTTTTTCTTAATATATACCAATATTAAAATAGTGTTTCTATTTCTGGCCTTCGTTCAGGTTACTTTGACTAAGGAAAAAATGCACTGATAACCACATAGAAATTGGCAAGTGAGTACATCACATAAAAGTGCAGGTTGTGGTCTACCAGTGGTAAGCTTAAGGTATGACACATTCCTACCCCCCCATCCCCGCCCCCTCCGGTTCTAGGGCTTAGTCTTACGGCTTTGTGCTGGATAGGCACGCACTCTACCTCTTGAGCCATGCCTCCAGCTTGCAAATGTTTTATATCCAAGTAACCGAAATTGTCTATTATAAAGTTAACGTTAACTTTTGAGAGTCAGTACTGGAGTTTGAACTCAGGATGTTGCATTTCCTAGGCCAGTATCACTTGAGGCACACTCCTACCCCTAAGAACCTCATAACTACATACAATTCTGTGCCTCAACAGTAATCATGGGATGCCAGGGGCATGGGAGCTTTTAAGGTTATATTTTAAGCACTTTTGTAAATTGTGCAATATCTTTAAAACAGCAATCATAACGTGTGTGTTCTTACTAGCTGCACACATCGTAAATTTTAGTGTTTAAAAGCACCATGGGATCAGTAAAACGTGGCCAGTTATATAGTACAGAGGTAGGTGCAGATGTGTCTGACCAGGAATAAGTTTTTCAAATGATTATAGGGAAATGGACTTAAAAGCTCCAAATTTGACTCGGGAAGCAGAGATCAGAAAGATCGTTGTTTGAGGCCATCCTGAGAAAAAGTTTGTGGGACCCCATTGAAAATACCCAAAACAAAGGGCTGTTGGAGTGGCTCACATGGTAGAGTGCCTGCCCAGCAAGCATGAGTCCCTGAGTTCAAGCCCCAGTACTGCAAAAAAAAAAAAAAAAAAAAGTTCTAAGTTTGAGTTTTCATTAATCAACTTAGTTCCAAAAAGTATATCATGGCCAGGGTGTAACTTCAAGGTACAGTGCTTGCTAGCATGTGCAGTCATGAGTTCGATCCCTATCACTGAAAAAAATAGAGGCTTGTAAGTGTGGCTTAGTAACTTAAACTGAAAAATCAGTTTTAAAAAGCAGAATCTAACTGTACTGAAAGTCCTGTCATAAACTGGGGTGAGAATCTTCCCATTGCTTTATTAGAACTACAAAGAAATGTCGGTGGTGAATAATAAGGACAAAGCAGTTAATAGGAAGGAATTGACTCCCAAGGTGACTGGGCTGTCACTCCAGGTCTAGCCATGTCAGTTTATATTCTCAAGTGTAGTCTCTCTAGTCCAAGTGTGCTTGCCTACATGTACTTAGGTCTTGGTTTAGACCTACAACACTAAAAATGCTGAAGGTAGTATGTTCTTAAGGCAGACACCAACATTTGTGTATGCAGAACTGCTTCAGTTCTAGAAAACTTATAGTTGGGTTTAGTATATTTTCTTTAGGAAAGTTAACTAGGAAGCGTTAAAGATTCTGACATCCACATATTCCTCCCAGATCTTCATTGGGATTTACCAGTATTTTTCAGTTTCAATTTGCTTCCAAAGGCAGGGAACCACTTCACAAAGAAGCAAAAACTTCCCTTTGGTAAAGTGGGTTATGGGTTAGGAAATTACAGGACATTCAGGGCATTGCTTTCCAAAGGTGACTGGATTGGAAGGAAATTGGTAAGAAGATGCGTAGGCATATCTTGAGGAGATTTAACAAGGGGAAAAGGCTTTTCAGTTTAAAATGTAAAACAGCATACTTGCATTTTAGGAAACATAGCTGTTGAGGGATAGAAGGTGTGAGGTAAAGGAAAAACCCTTCTTCACTGAGGTTGCACAGCATGCTGAAGTAAGCCAGTAGTGACTTTCCTGTCACTTTTTTAAGACTTAACATTTCCAGTAAAAACTTGTGGGAATGTTTTGTAATACATTGAGTCTTGAATTGTGCTAGTGTAATATTTTATTTCAGTGAAATTTAAGTCGCTACATGTGACAACTTCATTTTATCATATAGTACTTGAGATAACATGTACAAGTAGTTATTCCTATTTAGAAATGGTAGGTACTTTGTCCAATGGACCATAGTTAACTAAATGACGGGCCCAAAGTTTCTATGCATTTTGGAGCTTAGAACTGGAAATGTCTTTGAACTCCAAGTCCCAAGTCCAAGAAAATGAAACTTGTCACCAAACTGTAGGTAACCAACTGTAGGACCTTAGCACCTTCTCTCTGAAACTTTTAAGAGCAGAAGAATATTCCCACACCATTTTTCTCTTATCACTGAGGACTAGGGATTTGTAGCCCTAATAATTTCAAGGGTATTACTGGAAAATTGGATATGGCTAAAGTTCAACCATTTAATGCAGTGTGGAATTCAGCCTCTTCTACTCATCTTCCTTAGCTTGTAGAGTTATGAGAGAGCTGTGTCTTCACAAATGGGACTTAAATTGTAAAAGGAAATCAATGACATGTCACCATGCATACTCATGCAATCCAAAATAATGAACATCTGTGCATAGACTGTACTGCCCTTCAATGCTGCAGGCCCTGCATTCACCTGTTAGATTGGTTAACAGCTTTACTAGTTCCCATTCAAGTTTAGGAATCTCTGTGTGTACCATGAAGTCCTGGCATCTCCTATTTTGTCCCTGCTCTAAAACATACTTGCCTCTCCTGGCAGGAAATTATCCCAACCAGGGGGCTTATAGTGGGAGCCAGGGAGTCTACTAAGCTACCCAGCTAGAGCTAGCAACTAGCCCAGTCACCCAGACCTAGAACATTCTGGTTCCTGCTTATAGCCTCACAGAGTTAAGTCTGCCCCTTTCTCAGATCCTTACATCTCTCCATTCTACAAAAGCTTCTCAATTACCAGCTAAGTTACACCCTGGTTTTCAGAAGCCAATGCTGTCGAAATTGCTGCAAAGGTCTTAGGTCACTGCCATTCTCTTGTCCTTATTCTGGGGTATCCTAGCTCCTTTCCTTGAACACCAAGAGGAACAGCTCTTGGTAGAGTTTATTTCCTCGGGAAATCTACAAGCTTTCATACTGTTACCTGCCCAGCTCTGGAATCAACTCTGTTACCTATGTCTCATTCCCTCATCTAGGATTACAATCTTCCAAGCAACTGTAGCACCACTGTTCTTCCCATTGCAGGTTGGTCGGGCACAGGGCAGCACTGAAGAGTCCTATCTATGCTGCCTTGTTCTGTCCCAAGTGTAAGGAGTATCTGTCCTACCAGTTACTAACTCTTTTTTTTTTTCTTTTATTATTCATATGTGCATACAAGGCTTGGTTCATTTCTCCCCCCTGCCCCCACCCCCTCCCTTACCACCCACTCCACCCCCTCCCGCTCCCCCCCCTCAATACCCAGCAGAAACTATTTTCCCCTTATCTCTAATTTTGTTGTAGAGACAGTATAAGCATTAATAGGAAGGAACAAGGGGTTTTGCTGGTTGAGATAAGGATAGCTATACAGGGCATTGACTCACATTGATTTCCTGTGCGTGGGTGTTAAATAATATCCTTCGCTTTTTTAAAAATTGGGACTGGCGTTGGAACTCAGGGCTTTGCAAGTGTTCTACCACTTGAGACATACCTTTAGTCCATTTTTCTCTGGTGGTTTTGGAGATGGAAGTCTGTTCACAAACCATTTCCCCAGGCTGGCATCAACCTCTGACCTCCCTATCTCAGCCTCCTAAGTAGGGAGACTTGAGGTTCTGGCGCCCGGACTCCTTCACTTTTTCCCCCTGAGACCTCAACAAGTCTTGGGAAGGAAGCATCATCCTAGCTTTGGTGTATCAGAAGAGCCTTAAAAAAAAAAAACTTTTCCCACACAACAGTCTCAGTCTCTGTAAATTCATTTTTCACTCAGTATCTGTACTTGGCAGCTTTAGAATTTCCCAGGCACAATTGTTACGCAGTATTGTCCCAATGCACCTTTTGTCCTAATAACCAAAACCTGTAAAATACACATTCCTGTATCTAATTGATGTGTTTGGTCTGATCTGACATGAAGATGTCATTTTATATGTAAATACCTGAATTGTTTCACTTTGTGCCACCTTTCCAGTCAAAGCTACTATCACCTTGCTTCTGGTTTATTATAATACTCTCCAGTCTACCCACTTCCTCTTTGATGGCTTTGTTATCTGTCCAGACAATAGGCATGTATGTTAGTCTTTTTTTCTTTTTCTTATACTTTTTTTTTTTTTGCCATCCTAGGATTTGAACTCAGGGCCTACACCTTGAGCCACTCCACCAGCCCATTTTTGTGTTGGGTTATTCTTGCTTCTGGTTTATTATAATACTCTCCAGTCTACCCACTTCCTCTTTGATGGCTTTGTTATCTGTCCAGACAATAGGCATGTACGTTAGTCTTTTTTTCTTTTTCTTATACTTTTTTTTTGCCATCCTAGGATTTGAACTCAGGGCCTACACCTTGAGCCACTCCACCAGCCCATTTTTGTGTTGGGTTATTTTCGAGATAGGGTCTCATGAACTGTTTTGCCCATGCTGGCTTCAAACTGCTATCCTCCCAATCTCTGCCTCCTAGTAGCTAGGATTATAGACGTAAGCCACCAATGCCCAGCTTTTTTGGGCTTTTTTGAAGCCTGCATCTCAAATCTCCTGCTCCTGCCTGTCAAGTTTTGGGATTATAGGAATGTCCTACCATGCCTAGCATATTGAACGTTTGTAAGCATAAATCATGGCAGTTATTGGCTTAAAAACATTTTGGCTTTACTTTTTGGAATGGCAAAACAGCATAGTGTACAGGGCCAAAGATGGTCTGACCCTTTTCCAGCCTTCACCTTATGATCCCCCACCCACCCCTCTGTTCCTATCACATTGGACTTCTCTTTGTTTCTGTTACTCTCCAGGCTCCCCCTCCCACCTTTGCCCATTTAGTTCTTGGTTAACTTACAGTCTTTGTTGTGTTTCAAGTGTTACTTCCTCCAGGGATCCTTTTCCTGCCTGTAACTGGTTTCAATAGACTCAGAACCAGGAACTTCTTCATAGCTCTATACTCTACACATCAATTTGTATGATTGATTAATTCATTTTTCTTATTGTGAAACTCAGAGCAGGGACCACGTCTACTCAATATATCCCCAATGCTTAGATGAAATGAATCTATGCTGAAAGAAGGAACGAGTGGGAAAAGGTGAGGAAAAATTGGGGAAGGTAGCTCTGACTGAGGCAGTCTTGGAAACAAGTGCAAACCAAGGTTGAGGAAATGACTTCACAACACACCTAAAAGCATACTGTAAATCTGTTTACCCGTGTTAAAGGTGAATTTCACTGCCCTTGCTTTTACTGTGATCAGTCGTAATGTCAGCCTACAGCACACTCCTCAGTTACCCATAACTGATGCTAATGATGAAAAGAAAAGGCATGTCTAAAACAGGTGGACATATCCATAGTCCTGTCCATACCTTAGTCCAGTTGACCTGACAGTGCATTCAGCAGCTTTCCTACCCCTCAACAACTACGTTTGTTAATTTTGAAGATTACAAGATAAAACATACTATAAAATGGGCAAGCAGACATCCCCTCACGTCCCCATCCCATCATTACTCCCACTAAGTTACCACTCTTCTGACTTGTAATACTGTACACTTTTTTGGGGTCTGGTACTGGGGATGAACTCAGGGCCTCCGTGCTTTCTAAGCAGGCGCTGTACCACCTGACCACACCGCCAGCCTTGTTTTTTAAGCTATATAAATGTAATAGTATTGTGTTGAAATTTGGTCTTCCTGTGAGAGCAGACCTAGAGAGAACAAGTTGGGTGCAGTAGCTGGAGGAGATGATTCTGTT